GCGCTGATCATCGAAAAGTTTCAAATCGTCTACAGAACGCTTAATCGTCGACTCTTTTCAAGGTACATGCTTAAATGTGGGATGTATGACGGCAAAAAAAAAAAACAAAAACAAACACTCGCAAAGAACCTTTCCATGATCCAGAGTTCGCTGCCTTTGTCCCATCGCTTCAGGCTCAGTCTCAGTCGGGTAATTCATTAACTTTTATTTCATCCCAGATCCCAGCGGCTGTAAAACTGTAAAAATGGACGTATAGTAAAAAAGGAAAACGGTCGAAGGACGGGCTTCTGAGTTCGACTTCATCCAACTTCATTTTTTTCACGGTGACATACGAGACTCACGGAAATATGACACTTTTCGCGGGAAACAAGCCGTTCTATTTATAAATCTACTCGGGAAAGGGTTGACTCAAGAAATTAATGGAGATGGAGGCTCCATTTGATGGGCTCCTGACTGTATAGTCAATTCACCATTTTCACATAGACCGTAATACACCTTGTCAACCCCCCAACTTTTGCATAACCATCGTCTTCTATTTAATACCCAGGTGAAATTGGAAGCAATGGTTATCCATTTTTGGGGGGCGTGGGGGGCTAAACAAGGTTCATTATGGTCTATGAGAAAATTGTTAATAGATGACGCTATTGGGTCTCCTGAAAGTAGTTTTTTGTGCATTTTGACACAACTCTGCCCAGTCTCAGAAATAACGTCAAAATGGCAATAGCGACCCGCAATAACCTTGACCCCTCCCTCCCTCCCTTGGACAAGAAAAATCTCAAAAGCAGCAGGTTGGCTAGGTTGTGGAGCTGCTCGGACGGTCTCTCCTGATTGTTTTAACTGTTTCAGTAGTGTTTAGGGCTAGGGTTAGGCATCATTGGTGACTTCTCTTCCGAGCAGCTGCTACATAGCCCGGTTGTCCTCGGTCGTGTTTTTTGCCATTTTCTGCTTAATCACAACTAACACAGATTAGCTATTAAACCGCAAACTAACTGTACACAAACAGTGCTAAAGGTCAAAGAATTCGCCCGAGCAGGCCGCGCTTTGATTGGTTAGGAAAATAATAGGTGATATAGTTAGCCAGTGCGGTAATCCAAAGCCAAAGGAATCGCAATGCAACAACGCAACTATGAATTTGACACAATGCACAATTTTGATGCAAATTTTGACACAAGTAAGAGGCCTATTTTTACTTTCAAAGCAGGGAAGTACAAAGTTCCAATATGTATTCTTTCTTTTTTGTTTTTCAGTTGTTGGATGGCATGGAAACGGCTCAGAAGTGGTAAGTGACTTCCATCAAAGGAATATTTCTAGTTACGTTGGCTCCAGAGATCTGTTCTCAGGAAATACCAAGGATAAAGTCAGCCCTGCTTACGGGTTGTGCAAACTATTAGGAATTAGATAGGAAAAGGAAAAAAACCCTGGCACCCAGGGTAATTTCTAGTGCTTCTAGGGTCCAATTTAACCTCATGTAAGAAAGAAATTGCACGCCTTACCGATTACAGCAGGGTTCGTACAGGTCTTTGAAAACCTGTTAAGTCGTGGAATTAAAGAATTTCATTTTCCATGCCCGGAAAGTCATGGAAATTTTATTTCAGTTTTGTTTGCTACGTTAGTTACTGCAGATGACAAAGCAAGGTCAATGTAAGATGAAGTGGAGTAATTAAACAGCGCGAAAGACACACATTTTGGTGGACACCAGAGTTTGTGTCTGTTGAACTATTTAAGGCAAAAAATACCCTAAAACAAGGAATGTTTTGAACATTTTTGAACGTGACAGCAAAACACAAGGTCATGGAAAACGTGAAAAGGTGGTGGAAAAAGTCATGGAATTTGAGGAGCTCAAAAGAATACGGACCCTCAGGGTTGTCATTAAGAGCCGGGGGCCGGGGATTTTCCCCAGCTACTAAGAGAGTGGCCCCCCGCTACTTTTATTGGAAAATAGAAGAAAAATAGAACCATAAGAAATCTCTAGCCGTTTGATTCCCCATCTACTTGTTGTATTTACCCGGCAACTTGAAATCTTAGCGACAACCCTGGACCCTGTTACATAGTTGTCGGATATACTTGTTTGGTGTAAGCCTTTTGAAAGACAATATACCAACATGTGTTCCAAAGCCAGTGACGTGTTTTATCACATGGGAAACAATCGCTAACAATGGGAGAATAAAATAAACTGAGTTGTCAATAGTGGTTTCCCACCGTAAACAGATTTAACAGCTGCTTGGCGTTTCGGGCATTAGATCTGATGCAGGACGTACCGTATTTATTCGATTAACCGCCCTTGGCGCTTATTAAATTTTTGGACCTTGAGACTGGGCGCTTATTCGAGGTGGGCGCTTATACGAGTGCTAGGCGCTTAACAGATTTTCACCATTTTCAGCACGTGAAGTATGTTTATTTTGCAACAAAACAATAAATGCTAATAACAAAACTCGAAGAAGTAACAAAGCAATGTTTCTGTAAAATACTCTGAAGAAAACTCCGTCCTCGGGAAAGTCTCTTATTAGAATTTATTCACTCAAGTGGGTGGGGTGGGGGTGAGCGCTTATTTGAGTTTGATTGGGAGGAGGAAGGGTGGGCGCTTATTCGAGGCTGGGCGCTTATTAACTTTTTCTGCCTTTAAGATGGGCGCTTATTCGAGGTGGGCGCTAATTCGAGGTTGGGCGCTTATTCGAATAAATACGGTATTACAGTTTGCAGGCGATCAGAAGAGTCCGCGGTCCTAATTTCCAAGTTTCTATTACGCATGTAGGGCATTTATGTAGCCAGCATTCGTTAGTATTTCCCCTGTAAATGAATGGAATTTATAGAACGCAATTTGATCGTGCGCGTTTTGACCTTCTACAGCACATGAACCTTACGCAAAGCAGGGTTTTGGGGCAAGATCTTTTTAACCTTCGATCGATCTCGCCCGCTCTATCTAACCTTTGGTTATTACTAGCTTATCTAAGGCCACATGACTCAGTACTACTCTAAGTAATGCACATGCGACTCTTCTTGCAGGTTTCGAATGGCACACGCATGGGACAAGAAATACACCATTCCACACATCTATTGGGACACATTACCGAGGGCAAGTGCGAGTCAGGTTCACCCTCATTTTCACGTCACCCTTGCAAGAGATCACTATTACGGTAGGTGGTGGTGTTGTTACCCTTTGGTAGTACATCCGGTAACCGGTCATTTCGCCCCGGTTACTTAGCCACCTATTTTCGAATCATTCAGCGCGCTTCAAATGTAATATTCCTCGTTCTATAAGCCATAAAGCAAAACAAGCGCGCTTCAAACTGTAATATTGCTCGTTCTATACGCCATAAACCAAAACAAGCACGCTTCAGATATAATATTCCTCGTTCTAGAATAGGGGGCTAAGCAACCGGGGCGAAATGACCTGGGGACGGAATGACCCGGGGGCGAAGTGACCGGCAACCATAGATCCATCCGGCAACCATACATCCATACTGCGCTTCTTGCCGTGGTGTTGCTCTTCGCCTCACACTAGAGACCTGTAGATTCAAGGACGAGGACTACTTCAAGGACGAGATTAGACTTAAAGACTACTCGCTTATCTTCAAAAAAAAATAAAAAAAATACTCCCCGAAACACTACATTGTACTTTTTTGCGCCAGAAAAGTTATCACGGTTATTTTTATTGATGGAGGGTTACCTCCCTCCCGATCGGAAAATGATAAAACTTCTACATTTTACAACTTATTTCCGCCACTACGGCATTCTCGCTAAAGTCGTGAAAAACGCGTTATAAATTGACGAGGAATATCGCGTTTTTCCCGCCAAAATGACGCCGGTGCACGCGCGCGCATTACTTAGTATTGAGAAAATTTCGTCCTCGTTGTCGTCGTCGTCTTAACCCTTTAAACCCTAAGATCAAAATTTGAAATTGTCATTCGTTGCCCCTATTCATTTCCTACAGAAGTAGCGGGGAGAAGTTGATAAAATATCAAGAAATATCAATTCTTGAGCCTGCATGGCGGCGTTCGAAAGGAAAAGAATGTAGACGATTTCTTTCGCTCTAGATCGCGAAGTACGCGCGAGTGAGAGAGGAGGGAAGGAAACCAAATTGTTTATGATGTTTTCATCGCTTTGGGATCTCACCAGTTTGCTATTTGAGAACGGCTGATCTTTGAGGTAGTGCGATAAGGGTTTCTGTAAATGTAAACGAAGTAGTACGTCTCATTTACAGTAATTAGTTCTTACTAAAGACGATTTTTAGGGACAGTTCCTGAGCTTAAAAAATGAATCAAGCAGTTGCTTCGTTGCAGGTGTTGACCTCCCCTTCTCCCTCGCGTTTTTATCGCCGTTCTCGTGTGTTCATCTCCTTTATCGCGATTCTTGCGCGCCTTACGAGGGGAAATACATTGTCTGGATATCGGATAATTGTTACTCAGGCTCGATATATTACTTAGCTGTTCAGCGCGGCTTCAAATACTCCCGAGACCGCAAGTTTGGATGTGCTGTGCAGTATTCCATCATTGTTTGGGGGCAACATGTCGGGTCTCTTATGATTTACTTGTCGTTGCTTTTCATAGCCAAATGGAATCATCTTTATGTTGCTGCTAAGAAATACGCAGAAGATCATAATGGAGAAAACTACTTTTCAACCTTAACAAAAGTAAGTGAATTGAAAACAATACGAGTGATCTTGCATAGCACAATTTGTAGCATCGTGTAAGATCTTCCTTCAAAGTCTGTCTTTGGGTAGTCGCGTTCTTTAGCTCATATACTGAATCAAAGTTGAAAACGTCTTTTGCAAAATAAAGAAGTACCCAAAGAGAGTACTGCCCGGCAGTTTTTATGTGAATGGTCAAAATTTAGGTTTTATCCACACTTTGCAAAGTGAGAACTGCCTTCTACACCATGACAAACAACACCCCAGAATAGTACCTCTCAGTACTATGTTTCTTGTAAATGGCCACACTAAAGCATTTCATTTCAGATTCAAAGAATAGAACCACCTTGCAGAGGACAATAAACAGTAAGAGTACTACATTAACAATAGCCTCTGTTTTTCATTCACTTAAGAGTTGACCCACAGATTCAAAACTTACAACCGTGTTTTTTCACTTAACTGAATATTACCCTAGTTTGTTACTACTGGAGCTTTTGTTCACAGGCCCTAAACAAAAGTTTACCTCGAAAAGATAATTTATCTTTTCATCTTTGAGTGACCTTGAATTCTTTTTTTATTGAAACAATCTGTAATTTGGATTTTCTGTTCTTCTTTGCGTAGATCTACAGTGCTTTGGGTCTGGCAGTACGCTATGGCAACGCCACCGTTTTGGCGTATTTGGTAAGACATTTTATTACATATCAAAAGTAAAGCGCGCGCTCTGATTGGTCAAGTACCCCTTTACTAACGTCAAAAAAGCAGTAGGTTAAATGAGCAAAACAAGAAGTCTGCACGTCCATCACGCTTTTTTGTACATTTCGTTGCCGTCCCTGCACAACTACGACGTGAAATGACCAAATTTTATGTTTACTTGAGAACGAGAACGGCAAGCCGATAAATTTTACCATTTCTGTCTGAACTTGGGCGCGGTGTCCTTTCTTCAGTTCCAACCTAAATTCCCTTCTTTTTGAGTAACTGGGCGACTTGGGATAATCGCGATGAAAAAAAGTGAAAGGATGCGAAGTCTATTTTTCAGGGTCGTTTCCATGGACGTCGCCGTTGTCGGATCGTAAGGTCCCTAAAGGTGTGTGTTTTACGGTACAGCGTTGCAATGTTGGAACAGTGTTGTAACTGTTCAAAACAATGTCGCAACAATGTTGCAAATCGTCCCGTGTAACATCACCTTAATAGCTGACCGGCGCGTCCCGAGTAACGTTTCCAGAAACAATTGTGGGGCGCATTTCGGCTTCCGTTCCCTTCTCATGTCTAAAGTGGCGAATGTGAAGTTTTTCGGCTGAAAACTGGGAGGGTAATGGAAGTACTCTGGAGGTAATATTATTAAACACTGATTCATCATCATGATTTTAATAAAAATGTTTTTTTATTCCTTGCTCTCAGACACCTACCGCATCGCACGAGATTATGCTGATCAGTAAAAGGCCATGTAAAGATCTTTTTCACCTCCTTTACGACTGTTTAACAGGTAGGTGTAACCGGGGATTGGTCACACGTGTCGTTTAACTGCTCTCGCTTGTCCCAGTAGTTTAAAAAACCATTGCAACATTCCAGACCACAATTCATCATTTGCGTACCTCCCATTTCCTATTTTTTATTTTTATTTTTTAATTAATTGTTTTATTTAAATCACACTGTTAAAGTTACAAAGAGGTACATAATTACATACTTAGGAATTGAAAAACATTGAATAAAAAAGACCACAAACAAACAAAAAAAGAAAAGACGAATGTAACTTACAATTGACATTGCCTCACTATATAACTACGTAGAGTTGATCAATCACAATTTTTCGAACGGTTATTTAAATTCTATTTGTTTGGCAAAGTCTGGGAGAGTCAGTGCTTTATTATGAAGTTTACAGGAATAAATGTAAAATCTCATAAATAACAGAGTGTAGTTTAATTTTGTTGTAAGTCGGCTATTGTTGAGTAGATGTCCTGTTTTATTATTTCTCCATTCAATGAGTTTCTTATGTTTTCAGCATTTAGAGACGACATGGAGTTGTACGCTCTCAGCGCAGGAATGGTGTTTCCAAAGTTTGTAAGTAATGAGTAATTCTCCTGCTTGCTTTTACTCTTAATATTTTGAAAACCTAGAATGGTGTAATAAGCCATTTCCGAGTTCTCCCGAGCCTCTGTTTCAAAACGAGGGTAGGTGCTCAGCCTTTGATATGGAGATCATTTTTCATTCTCATGCAAATAAAACTCATTTTCACAAGAAAGGTTGTGCACCTAACCTCATTTTGAAGGTGAAGGTTTTTGGAACACGGAAGTGGCCTATTTAAAATGTCACAATACAACTGAATGCTGGAGATAGACTCCTACCTTGCCCTTAAGCGTAGTCCATAAACTAGCAATACATATATTGCAGAACCTTGTGAAGTTCGGGAGAGGGCGGCCCCCAAAAAAGTCAGGCATTGGAGGTAGGAAAGGAAAAAGAGTACATTGTGTTAAAGGCGGGGTTGGGGCAGGTTTCATTATGGGCTCTAAAATAGACATTTTAGCTTGTAACTGTTATTTTCCCAGTTGAGATCATGTGATGTTGTCCAGGAGATTTGATGGACCAATTTAGGTTTCTGGGAAACTGCCCACCTACCCCTCCCCTAACCCAACATTTTGCCCTAAGTGAGAAGTAAGTGTTAATGTTGGGTTAGGGGAGGGGAAGGTGGGCAGTTTCCCAGGAACCTTAATTGTTCCGATTTGATTTATGCTGTAGACTCCTACCTTGCCCTTAAGTGTAGGCCATAATTGACATCGAATATTTTGCTTTACCTCCGTGTGAATCGTCTTAGTTTTGTCATCTGCTCTGTTGCGTTGTCCCTTTGTCCCGCCTGTTTCGTTGAATTAGTTTTTGTGTGTTCACAAGTTTTCACCGACGATGCGGTCAACAATGCCCGTCATTGCTTCAGTTATTCTTTAAGGAGTGTTTTGGACGAAAAGCATTTAGCTGGGGCCTGGATTTTCGTACTTGCTTATTGATGGAATTTGATAATTTGCCTGAAAATGGCAAACCTTAATCTTGAACTGCAATATATCTTTTCACGGTTTCTTATGTATATTTTTTCAGAACCCGTCACCTGATGGAAGTGATTTACCCACAATAATAAGACTAGTTTATCGCGGAGCAGCCGAGGGGTAAGAACTGCTTACCTGTTTTTGAAGGCACTTTGTTCTGTTTTGTATCGGGATTTCGTGATTTTACTTGACATAGTGATAGTAGAGAGCTTTAGATTCTCACACGAGGGCTACAACGAGAACGAGATTTTCTCAATAGTAAGTATCATTTACTAAGTGTCATTTTGGCGCGAAAATATAATAGTACTGCAATTTGATTGGCTTAGAGCAGTGGTATTTCAGCTTAATTTGAAATACCTACATGTGAAAATTACAAACCTTTTGCGGGTAGTAGTATAAACAAATAATAGCATGATTTGTACGTGATATTTGGCATAAATTCCACTCGCGATATTTCAAAATTGTCTCAAATTTCATTCGCCTAACGGCTCGTGAAATTACGTATAACAATTTTGAAATATCACTCGTGGTATTTATGCCAAATATCACTATAAATCATGCTATTACCTATACTAATTCTACTACGAGATTTAGCTAGATGTCGTAGTGGCGAAAACAAGTTGTCAAATGTTAGGAATTTTATCATTTAGCGATAGGGAGTGGGTGTAACCTCCTTCAACGGAAATAAGCGTGCTAACTTTTGTGGTTACAAAAAGTACAGTGAAGCTTTCCTGGGTGTCTAGTTTTAGAGAGTAGGGGAAAAAACTTAAAATTAACTGTCTTACTCGTCCTCGAATCTAAAGCTCTCTAGTATTTAGCTGTTTGGACCAATCGTTTCTTTGCTAAACGAGTGTACAAAACACCCTCTTGAAGACTGTCTACTTGCAAGGTAAACTGAAGCAAGCTTCCCCTCCCCCAGCCCCTCTAAACAATGATGTACCCCCCCCGTCCAGACAAAATACCCAATTTTGAATAGGGGAGTAGTGGGAAGGGTGCAGTGTGTCTCAACAAATCTGTCGCCGATTACAGTATCTCCGAATTATAAAGTCATCGTGCTGACAACACTGTCGCGTTGTCTTGCCAGTAGCAAAATATTTATTTTTCACTTATTAACCGATGTCAACCCGTTATTTTGAAGGACGAGAGCCGATATTGATTCTCTTCAGCTGTTCGGGGTGAGTTGATGCATTTTATCATCCTTTCACTCTACTCAGGCAAACATCTTGAATGACCACTAATTTGCGTTGATTTATTTAATTTTCAGACCACCAATGTTAATGTTGATCCATACGTTATCATTAGTCACATCAAGAAGTCTGTTGAAAGACGGAGAGCACGTCCTTTAAGGCAAAGCAGTGACGCCTAACTCCCAATAATCACTGCCACCTCTACGTCGCAGAAGGTACAGAAGGTCAAGGCAAGACCAAGATAAAGAAGATCACGTGAACGACGCAATGAATCTTGGTCCTATCCAGAATACACAACAGCCTTCGCAAAGTTTGTAAAATGTCAAGTGCGTTCTTAAATGCGTCCGTATTCTGGAAGGATGTGGAAAATTGGTGTAAAGGGGAAGATTTTTAGTGACTCATGGAAGAAAGGTCATTGTCCTTGTTGCCGATGGCCGACCGCCATTATCATTTACACATTCTGAAGTTGTAAAGACTCAAGCGGCGGGCTGCAATAGAGTAAAATATTCGTGGTTCAATTGAGTTATGGAGAAAAACTATGAAGATTGAATTGTAGCCAAAATGAAATACTCTGGTATATATTAGATTATTTAAAATGATTATTTAAAATATTTACATCAAATATAACGTTTAACAGAGGAGTGCTTACATGGGCCGCATAAGTGTGCTTGTCGAACCTCTGAAGCATTCATAAAGAAAAAAAATACATATATTCCAAATTTTTATACGAACTCAGCAATTGACCAGAAACTAAGTTTTTGGAATGGCAGTATTTGTGACATAAGCTGAGGACATGATAACTCGATAAAGCACGTGCGTGAAGTGGGCGCGTGCTGTATGCTCTTTGAGGAACTGACGCATTTGCTTTGCAAATTTTATGTAAAAGAAATGGGTTTTAAAGCATTTTTGTAGCTGCAATAGGAGCCTATCCTGGGCCCCCAGTCAAGTCAACAAAAACACTAGTAAGAGCAGAGACCTTAACCCTTTAAGTCCCACTAGTGACCAACATCAATTTTCTCCTAACGATATCCATACATTGTCAAGAGGTTAGGTTATGAGAATTAATAAAATCATCACCAAAGAGAAAATGCTTTGATCTTTTATCAAATTCTCTCAACTCATTCTTTAAGGAAATGTGTAGAGACCAGTTTGGAGAATTTTGTATGTGGATATTTGGGCTTAAAGGGTTAAGACTCTAAGACGAGGAGGTCGACTACGAGGACGAGATTTTCTCAATACTTTGTGGAGCGCGCGCGTGAACCAGCGTCATTAGGGACCTTACGATCCGACAACGGCGACGCCCATGAAAATGTCGATGAAAGATTTCAGAGAAGGGATTTGGGGTTGGAGCTGAAGAGAAGGGACCGCGCCCGAGCTCAAACAGAGATTCCCAAGTAAACTTAGAATTTGGTCATTTCACGCCGTGGCAGGGACGGCAAAGTAATGTACAAAAAAGCGTGACACGCGCGTGCAGAGTTGTTGTTTTTCTAACCTATTGCTTTTTGACTTTCCCGTTGCCGTCGCCGTCGTGGTTTTGTAAGGTCCCTATTTTGGCGGGAAAACTCGATAGCCGACGCCATTCTACGAGTTTAGCGAGAATGTCCTAGTGACGGAAACAGTTATCGACTGTTAAGCACCATGCAAACGAACGCAACATTGTTGGCCAACAATGTTGGGAGTTGTTGTGTTCGTTTTCACGTAGCTTTTAAATGAAGTTTTATCATTTTGCGATCGGGAGAGTGATTAACCGCCTCCAATAAAAATAACCTTGTCGACTTTTCCCGTAAAGGAAAGTAAAGTGATTCTTTCTGAGGTTTCTCAAAAGTCACATATCGTCACATATCTGGAAGTTAAATATCGTCCTCGTATCTCGTTCCCGTCCTCGAATCTAAACGTATCTTTTAAGTCCTCTAACAGATTTGGCAGTCACTCTTAATAATGTTGGATACTTCTAAACATAGAACAACGTGTCATTTTGTCTAAAAATCTAAGAAAGAGAATATGATGTAATTTGTAGCGGGGAATATTGGGGAAACAATGTTTATTTATTCTCGAATTTGCGAGCGGGCAACCTGAGCGGGCAAGATATCCCGCGTTGGTCCCGCAAGAAAAAGTGCTCTAGTTTGGCCATATAATAAATCCCTTACTGACTAAGCTTGTTCGGTCAAGATGTCTGGATATTGGCCTCTGTAGTTTTTTTTGGCGTTTTTATTGACCGAGACGAAGTAGAGTAACGAGGTCAATATCCAGCCGTATTGACCTCACGCCTAGTCAATAATGCATTATGTTTAGCCCGAATATAAAAAAAAAGTTGGGAAATATTTTCTTTAACATCGAGTGTTTCGTTGTGTTTCGAAAGCTATTGTTGGTTCGCTTTTGCTTTGGGGTTTGGGAATTTTTCAGTGTCTTTTCAATCTTTGTTTATGCATCATTTGGTGATCGCAGACGTCCGCAACACCAAGAAACTACGGAGACATCTCAAAGAGATGTCAAAAACTTTGTCGAATGTGGTTATTAACCTTTAGGCGTTCAAAAGTAACAAGCAGTTTCCCCATTAAATGTTATTAAAAAATTGACCACCCACGATGAATTTATAAATACTTAAACATTTACTCCACACTATTTGTGTAGAAAATGTACCCCCCTCGGCTATTTTCCTATTTTTTGGCTACGCTAGCACCACTGAGCTAAGTCCACCAGTAACAAAGCTTCTCTTCTCTTTGGAAACCAACAATTGCGAAAAACGGTGAATGGTCTTATTGCAACCATCACAAGGAACCCTCCCGCCGTGACTAATTTCCCCCGTATGTTTTATATAGCTACCGTATAAACTGCTCAATTATGAGACCCTACATACCAGTTGTAGGCTCTTCTACCTGTAGAAAAAAAATCTATCCCATTATAAGCTCCCCTCTAAATGTATTGATATGAATTCAATTTATTATGGCGTTTTGAAGATTAATTAAAAATCAGTTAATACAAAAGGTACTCTGATCTGCATTGCGAAGCGCTTTTTCTAGTCCACTAAGATCCTCCGTCTAAAATCCCCCCCCCCCCCAAAAAAAAACCCATACGTAAGCCCAGGGATTATAAGGCGACAGTTTACGGTATATTTTTGTTTTGTTTTTATTAACCTTGACATTTTCAGGCACACCTCTTCCTATAGGAAGCTGCACTCACTATATTTGTCAAAAAAACGAAAATGACAGACGTAGTCGTAAGTGGAATGGGAACTCTTAAGTTTAAATTTCCTGTTGTTTTGCCTCTCCTTTTAGTTTCATTTTTTTCCAGTAAAACTCTAGGCCCAATATAACTTTCCTGAGGAGAAATTTCTTTGCGAAGCAATTTGTGTTAGCTCCTGAAATCGCTAAGGATCGTTCGTAGACAAATTTTTGCATGTATCGATAATTTTTTTAAGCATGCCAAAATTGACGACTGGAGAAGGGTTATGGGGGACGAACATGAACGATTTAAAAAGAAAGAAAAAAAAACATGTCGCTCAAAGGGGCTGTGATACAGCTGCCATTTTCAATTTTGTCAATTAAGTGCCTTATGCGCCATGTAGAACTTAACCTTCTTGTAAACGACAAAATCACAGCTTCTTGTCGAAGAAATATGTGTCGCAAGCATTATGTCAAACGTTACAAACAACAAAAATGAGCTTTGAAAAACATTTAGGCTGGGAACAAGTTTTCAAAAACGCACAACTACAATCTGTCTTAATCTTCTTAGTTGAAGTTAGTCCATCCGTGCTTCCTTTTGTAGTGCTGTGTTGTTTATACCTTCTTTTAACGTTCTGAGCTTTTTTTTATGTTTCACTCAATTTGGCGCCCCGTGGAAGGGGGGGATGGGGTGGGTACTCCCTATGATGGCCTATACGGGGAGGCTCCGCCCGAAAGGGGTACCTATCTATTTCAGGCTTCAGGTGTATGAAAGGGTAAGGATTTCACCAGCTGAAGTATACAAAAGGGGAGGGAAGTCTGTCATTTGGGTCTGTGAAAGAGCTCAAAAGGGCTAACAGATGAATTTTATGGCTTTATAAAGTCGAGAGAACGTTCAATTTTTGTGACTAATTCCTATGTAAAAGACATTGCATTTACAGCAGTTAAAAGGGGATGCAAAGTTCTAAACAAGGTATGTGAAAGGAGTACCATTTGTCAATAGAAGGTATACAAAAGGGTTACCTTTTTCGTGAAAAATGGTATATAAAGGGTAAGGGGTTGGACCTCGGGGCGGAGCCTCCCTGTATAAACATTTGTCGAGTACCCCCCGGGATTTGCCGGCAGTCCCTACTGTTAAAATTTTGATAATATTCATGACACAGCTCCTTTAATTTCGTGAACGCCACCAGAGCACCATGATATCTCCTCACGCGCTTTCATTCCAGTCAGCCTAGCAATACACCGTCTCAATTCAGCATTACGCCAGCAATATATCAGCGGATTCAGTGACGAATTGCAGAAAACCATGCAGTCTGTTATTGGGAAAACGTAGTAATGAAACAACTTGTCTTCAAAGAACTTGACAGCCACTAGCGATATCAGGAGTGGGGAGTAGCATAGTAAAACCGATCCGATGATATAAGCTGTTGTTTTCGTGACTTTGCGCTCTTTGGCTACTGTGCTGGCGTTTTGATGCAGTGAGTGTATTTGAGAATGATGCCGAAGAGCAAGCCTGTAGATACGAAAGTAGACAAAAATAATTATAGTGACAAATATGATGATGAACGATGTGGCGGCCGTGTAGTATTTTCCACTCTCAACACCAAGGAATCGTGAAATCACGAACAATGTCCAGGAGATAACGAAAAAACCGGTAAAGAAGAGAAGGCGCGTGGTCGATATGATCTGCTTGTATTTGAATGCGAAGAACAATGCGATGTACCTCTCGCACGAAATAAAGCAAAGAATGAGAAAAGATGTTCCAATCGATAAATGCCAAAGAACTCTGTAGGTCACCAACACCCAGCAAACGTAGCGATCGTGAAGCTCTAACAAGCGCCTGATGAAGTACATGGGCTGAACCGCTAAGCCCACAAAGAAGTCGCTCATTGATAGTAACAATAGGAGTGTATTAGAAGTTCTCTTCCGTAGGTCGCTGTTTATTAATATGGCTGTACATACTAAACCGTTGGCTATCAAAGCCACAACAAGAAGAATTCCGTTCCAAATTGTCACTGTTACTGATATAGCGGTTAAGGCAGTGGTTTTCTTCATTTCATAGTACGTTAAGAAAAAGCATTGTAGAACGTGAGTTTCATCCGGCACTGTAGAGTTCATAGTTTTCTTAAGGACCGTACGCCCTTGGCTTCCAAATTGTCTATCTCAGGCTTTGTTGCCACATCAATATTTTGCGTGAGAATCAAAGTTTCCTGGTTGATTCACGAACATCTACCCCAAAATTAAGATACAAGTCAGTCATCTAGAAATGGTGTAAAAGAAAAGTAGCAGAAGCCGTGCCTTTTAAACTAACATACAAGTACAACGAGTTGTTGTTCCGCTGGATGCAAATTCATACTGAAACAAAATTCAATTATACTTCTCAACATTCATGAAATTGTTTCTTTTCCTAAGACAAACTCCCACGAAGTGTAAACAGGCTTTTACCGGAATTGAATTGCTGCGCCTATTGAAATGAGGTTTAATGTCGTTTGCCATAATGAAGGACACCTTTGGAGAGGTATAGGCGGATTTAATATAGAGGAAGAGTCCGTTGCTTAGAAAATGAGAGTTTAATGATTAAAAAATCTACTTCCGCACTGTTTTTATGAAAAGAAAGCAATTTTCTAGCAATAAAAGATAAGGCCTCTCAGAAGGGAATTAAAATTATTCTCCATCGGAGATGACATTTGATAATGACAATTTTCAAATACAAAGAAAACGATTTGAAATTAGGAAGATCGGGTAAACAATAGTGAATGACAGACAAATCACAATTTGTGGATGTTTAATATTTGAAATGTATATCTTAGGGCTACGGTCGAATTAATATGTATTTGTATATTGTCTATTAAGAGTCCCAATACATTCGTTATTTCGTACTTATAGTCATCATGCCATATATCAATCCGAGCGAAAGAATAATCGATCTAAAGTAGTGTAAGAAACCACTTAAAAGTTCTTATAATTGCTTTTCTGGCATGGAAAAATGTCTTTACACTATTCCGACCGGGGACGGGAAGGGGGAGTCTTTTAAAGCCCCCCCCTAAAAAAAACCGTTTAAAGTTGAATTATTTCAAAACCGTTGAAAGTATGATGGCCAAACTTAGCGACTTTTTATTAAAAGTTATCTAAAAACATTTTAAAGACGTCGTCACGTGTTCGTTAACATTGACGTTACCATGGCAACCAAGTTTTTATAGTTATGTTTTTTTCAAAAATTACATTTTTGTCCTGAGAGAACTTAAAGGTCTCTTGATTTCTTATCTAGGAGGAATCGGACAATCTTGTTGATTTCATTAAACGTACCACTGTCACTGATGCACCTGCGGTATGTTTTTCTTCATTTAAAATCAACCCCTCAAGTGGTTTAAAGTAAATCCTTCCGCTCGTCTGTTTCCGTCAATCGGGTGGCAATAATCAGACTTTATGGAACTTGAAAACCGGGCGACAAATTATCTTTTCCCACGGGTTCAGTAGAGGGCAGCAAATGTTCCACCACGTTCAACTAAGCAGGACATTCCGGGCGTACGGACTCTAGATTGGAATAGCAAGATCCTTTTGGTAATCGAAACGCAGAATGTTTTCAACATCCTCGACGGCGATAGTAGAACTCGCCTTCTCTCCTAACATTGAATCGATGGTTTTGGTGATCTTAAATCAGTTCCAGTGTAGGGTGTTGGATCGATTGAGAAGTGGGACAAGCGTTGTCGCTCGAACAGGGTTTCATTCAATGCCGTAACAAGCCCATTGTCTAGCAAAACCGAACCTTGGAACCCTACAGAGCGGCCGTAGTGAAAAGTGCTGACAAGAATACTGGCTCCAAGAGCCAATTCTGGGATGATAATAAACGGAGGGGAGGGGAGGAGGGGCTTATTTTCGAAATTTTACGGTAAATGTTTAAAGGAAGATCATGACTCATCGGTCTTCGGTACTGACAGTGCATGAGAGTCATAAGCTTTTTTTTTTTTTTAACATGACCTAACATTGCCTCACGATAGTCACAAGATTTAGACTTAGCCAACCACATGGCTACAAGTTTTAGCACAAATAACTGATAAATGTGCATAATTCGCCGAGTCAGTGTTTGAAAAAAAAAAGAAAAGAAAACATGCGTTCGTTTGTGTACCACACAGAAAAATAAAACTAAATGTTTAAAGAGAAAGATTTTGCTACGGGTTCCTCGTCAATGTTCAGATACACCGGCGAGAAGGTGCCTGAATTTGAGTTTTACAGTTTTACACAGGTCGTCGTCTGACTGGAATTGGTGAATATATCTACCTTAGGTCGAGGCTAACCTGTGTAAATGAGTCTTCCGTATTGGGGCTCAAAGGGTCAATCCTAGAGTGAAGCGAAGTCGGTCCGTTCTATTGTCACTAACTTCTCTGCATGGATGGCTCTTCTACATTTAAATTGCACTCTTGAACTGGTTCACACAGGGGCACCCAACGACAATTTTCGGAAAAATATCTGTTCGGACGACGATTTGAGATCTAGAATTTTCGGAACATTTGTTGTAAAATTTCTTGCTTGCCTGCCTCTCCTAGGATTTTCGAACATCTAAAAAATGGTATAATTGCCTATTTTTAACGAATTTTTACCCTAGAAAGGTCACCTAGAATTTTCGGGAGCCTTTTTTCTGGCTGAAATTTTCGAAAAGGTAAGTTTTGATCCCTATAATTTTCGGATCACTAGACTTTCAGCTAGGAAATCCGAACAGATGAAAAATTTTTAGGGGATAAAAATATGCCTATATCTACCGTTTAAATACTAAAATACGTTTAACAATTCTATGTTTGAGTGGTTTTGAACTATATTCTCGTTGGGTGCCCCTGTTCACAGTAATTCTCTCCATTTTATCCTCAAATTCCTCCGAGAAACTTTCTTCTGTGTTTGTCAATCGCGTCGCAACAATCAGACGTTCCGGAATATGAAAACCTGGCGACAAATTATCTTTTGCCAGGGGTTCATAGTAAAGAGCACTTAAAGTTCCTACGCGTTCAAGTAAGCAAGACATCCCGGGCGTACGATATCTAGATTGGAACACCAAGCTTTCCCCGATGTACCGTATCTCTTGCCACATGTTGAATGCCTTGGGATAATCGAAGCGTAGAATGTTTTCAACGGTCTTAACGTTGACAATGAAACTCGCCTTCTTTCCTGATATTGGATCGGTTTCAGTGACATTAAATTTTCCAAGGTAGGGTGTTGGATCAATTGGAAAATGTGACGAGCGTTGTATCTCGAACAGGGTCTCGTTCAAGGCCGCAACCAGCCGGTTATAAAGCAAAACTCCACGCTGGGAGGCCGTCGAGTGGCCGTAGTACCCAGTGCTAATTAGAATGTTAGCTCCAAGAGCTAACTCAGGGATGACAATAAACTTAGTACTGTAAGTGTCGCTTTTTCCATCTTTGGTTCGAATAAGGACATGTTCTTTGAACAGCATCTCAAACGGGGACCCCCACACAGTGACGCCATCTGGGGTAATATCTTTGGGTGTCATCATTTCCCTAAGGGTTGCAGGCTTGAACAGCTTTTGCTTGTCAGGTTGAGCGAACATCATTCCCAACTTAGCAAGATCGTCAATTGTAGAGTAAATTTGACCCGCCGGGGCTAACCACCCAAAATCCGTAAAAGGCATTTTCTTTCCTCCGGGTCGATAAGGGTAAGCCATGTTTTTTTCCACCTCGTCTGTGATTTCAAATCCCGTGTTCACCATTCCAAGCGGTTTTATGATGTTATCCATTGTCCAGCTCTCGAATGTTTTATTCGGCAGTAAGTTTTCTGTTAATAGCCGACCCAACAGCGCATATCCAAGATTGCTGTATGAAGGGGTTTTCCAGGGAGGCCACACTAGTGTGCGGTTCGTCAATAGTGCGAGTTGCTCTTTGGAGTTTGTTTTGCTGCAATGATACATACAAGGGGCCTCTCGAGGTAAACCCGACATCTGGCTAGCGATCTCTCGCAGTGTTATGTTCTCATTTGTGTAAGGATTTTTGATTGCAAAATCAGGAGCGTATTTGCTCAAAGGATCATCAATTGAAGCGATTTTTCCTTCTTCGTACAGCTTGTACATTTGGAGGACAGCAAACACCTTGGTCACGCTTCCAATCCTGTACACAGTGCTCCCATTGGGTTTCATTTCCGGCTCTTTGTACACCTTGCTTCCAAAATGGCCACTCCATAAGATACGATTTTGGTAAAAAACATTAGCAGAAATGGCGGGTAGCGAAGACTTTTCATCGACTGCCGCACTGAACACTGCTTCCAATTTTTCAAACACGTCTGTTAATCGCTTGGGTGTCGTTTTGGGCAACGGAAACAGAGTGGGAAACTGCGGGCAAGGAAGCGTGTCAGCTGTGCTGGTGCTTTTGTCAGGTACGGGTTCTCCGCTTTTCTCCATCTTGTGCGTCAAAAACGCCGTTGTAACTGCCAGTGCTAGTAAGGTTGAAATAAAGGTCAATATCCTCCATATTCTTAGGGTATTGTAAGGTTTTTTCTGGCCTCCGAACTTCGTATATGGAACTTCTTGAACATCAGACATCTTGTAAGGATGAAAAGGGAAAATCGCAGAGCGTGACTTTTGTGTCCGCCTTTAGCAAAATCAGAATTAAGGGATTAATTGCGAAATAAATAAACAAATAGAAATGACCTATATGTTTAAAGGAAGATCATGACTCATCGGTGTCCGTTATACGGTTCATGATGGTCATAAGCTTTTTTTTTAACATAACCTAACAGTGCACCATGATAGTCACAAAATTAGACTTAGCCAACCACATGGCTACGAGTTTCAGCACAAATAACTTATAAATATGCATAAGTCACAGAGTCAGTGTTTGAAAAAAAAAAACTTGCGTTCGTTTGTGTACCTCACAGAAAAATAAAACTAAATGTTTAAAGAGAAACATTTTGCGACAGGTTCGTCGTCAATATTCAGAGAAACCGGCGAGAAGACGCCTGAATTTGAGTTTTACAGTTTTGCACAGGCCGTCTTCTGACAGGAAATTGTGAATATATTTACCTTAGGTCGAGGCTAACCTGTATAAATGAGTCTTAAGTGCTTCTATTCAGCAGCCACGGCGGATTCGAAACTTGACTACCACCCGGGAATATCCAATTACTCCCAAAATCCTGAAAATGTTTGACCTCAATCTAGAAACTCTATCGAAGATAGTCAATCTAGTCGTGAAAATGCGACCCCATCCAGCGGCACATAACCATGAGCATATTACTAGGAAGTACCCTCGGGCATACGTCGTGCACCTGAAGTTTCATTTAAATGCTCCAAAATTAGAAGCCCCTTGAAAAAGTATAATATTAATCAATTACTGGGTGAGCTAAGTTTGGCCTGAAGAATTATGCAGTTGGAGTTGGGTAATAGAGAGATTATATAAGCATCACGTATACGGGTAACGCCAGATTCAAGTTGAGAATTTCTCAAAATAGAAAATGAGCAAATAAAAGCAGCCCAAAACAATTCTTATGGATAAAGAATTGCGTGAAACTACTAAATTATACTGGTGTCTCAGCATGCTGGACAACGTTTTAGCCCTTTTCCAGTTACTATAGTTACTGAGCAATTCTAGGTAAAAGTTAATAACACAACGTTTTAATATTTCTAGTACAATACAGTTATCAACACGTTCTAAACGGCTCTAATTGTGTCCGATTCTCAGATCTGTCCTTGATTAGTTTTGCGCTCTGGATTACTGCATACTATACTGAAGTAACCAGGCCTGCTAACCAGTAACCAAGCCTTGGAATGAACTGAATACTATAACAATGCTTTTGAAACCCAAATAGGCCATTTCCGGTTTCAAAAGCTGTCTTTCCTAAAACGAAGCTAAGTGCCAAACCTTCCTTGCGAAAATGAGTTTATTTTCGTGACAATAAAAAATGATGGCTTTGCACTTAACCTGGCTTTGTAACAGAGGCTTGGAACAACTGGGAAATAACCTATTTCACGCATGCAGTTTTTGTCGCGCGTCTTCCATTAAGTCGTTGGTTTCTCAACGAAATCGTCGCATATCAAGAATTGGCTTGTGTGATAGTAACGCTTCTAGCGTGCTTGTGTAGCCATGCACGACGACGGCAGAAACGAGAAAATCAAAAACAAAAATTGGGTATTAGCAGAGCTCTTGCATGTGAGCACTTCGAGGTACCATGGGTAAGAAAATTTGGTTATCTATGCATCCAAGAAATTTTGGTCCTGACAAAAATCGTCCGTACGTACGTACGTCCAGCCGGGGTGAAATTTCGCGAAAAGCGAACGGGAACACATAGTGGAATTTTTTTCCATAAAACGTGTAGGTAGGAAGTTTCATGTTGTAGTCGTGGAAAACAAAGCAATGTGCAAAAAAGTCTTCTGCACGTGCAAAGTTGTTGTTTTTTTTTTTGCTAATTAGACCTGTTGTTTTTTGCTGTTCTCGTTACCGTCGACGTTTAGTATTACACGATTTTGTTTTTTGTTTAAGTAAAGTACAAGTATATTATTACCGAGAGCTTCGCTTTTAGCCTTGGCTAAATCTATACATCATAAGCAAAAGAAAACCTCAGAACAAACATAGATAGATTTCTATGCTTCATAGCACGAATAATGTTGTTAAACTTGATACGAATGGCTTAATCTACAAGATCGCCGTTTAATCAAAAGCGATCGTCGCGTGTTCGATTTTGTCTGAAATACTTATACAGAGTCCAAGTATTTTTCCATAAAATAGCTCACTGACATCATAACATTTATGATGCCATACCTTTTAGCCACAGAAACTAGCTGCTACAAAATGTGCCTAAGTAATAAATGAACAACTATTAAGGAGAAAAATCGTTTGGAAAGAAGCGGAAAAAACACTTTGGAAGAGGGTTTCAACCCCGGCCCCTTTAAGCCTCTAACTCCCAATAGTGACCAACATCACGTTTCTCCTAGCAGTATCCATGGATACGTAGCCTCCCACGCAGACGTTCTTAGGGGTCCATCACGCGTTCCTGCCCCACGAAACGCGTGACGAACCCCTAAGAACGTCTGCGTGGGAGGTTAATCCATACGTTGCCAAGACAAATGGTTATCAGAGTTAATGAAATGATCACTAAAGAGAAAATGCTTCCACCTGTTATCAAACTCTCTTAACTAATTCGTTAAGGAAATGTATGAAGATCAGTATTGAGAATTGACATGTAGATATTGGGGCTCAAAGGGTCAAGCCTAGCGTGAAGAGAAGTCGGTCCGTTCTATTGTCAATGACTTCTCTGCATGGATGCCTCCTCTACATTTAAATTGCGCTCTTGAACTGGTTCACAGTAAATCTCTCCATTTTATCCTCAAATTCCTGTGTGAAACTTTCTTCTGTGTTTGTCAATCGCGTCGCAACAATCAGAAGTTCCGGAATATGAAAACCGGGCGACAAATTATCTTTTGCCAGGGGTTCATAGTAAAGAGCACTTAAAGTTCCTGCACGTTCAAATAAGCAAGACATCCCGGGTTTACGATATCTAGATTGGAACACCAAACTTTCCCCGATGTACCGTATCTCTTGCCACATGTTTAATGCCTTGGGATAATCGAAGCGTAGAATGTTTTCAACGGTCTTAACGTTGACAATGAAACTCACCTTCTTTCCTGATATTGGATCGGTTTCAGTGACATTAAATTTTCCAAGATAGGGTGTTGGATCAATTGGAAAATGTGACGAGCGTTGTATCTCGAACAGGGTCTCGTTCAAAGCCGCAACAAGGCGGTTATAAAGCAAAACTTCACCCTGGGTCCCTGTCGCGTGGCCGTAGTACCCAGTGCTAATTAGAATGTTAGCTCCAAGGGCTAACTCGGGGATAACAATAAACGTAGCACTGTACGTGTCGATGTTTCCGCCTTTGGCTCGAATAAGGACATGTTGTTTGAACAGCATCTCAAACGGGGACCCCCACACAGTGACGCCGTCTGGAGTAATATCTTTGGGTGTCATCATTTCTTTAAGGGTTGCAGGCTTGAACAGCTTTTGCTTGTCAGGTTGAGCGAACATCATTCCCAACTTAGCAAGATCGTCAATTGTAGAGTAAATTTGACCCGCCGGGGCTATCCAACCAATATTCATAAAAGGCATTTTCTTTCCTCCGGTTAGATAAGGGTAAGCCATGTTCTTTTCCACCTCGTCTGTGATTTCAAATCCCGTGTTCACCATTCCAAGCGGTTTTATGATGTTATCCATCGTCCAGCTCTCGAATGTTTTATTCGGCAGTAAGTTTTCTGTTAATAGCCGACCCAACAGCGCATATCCAAGATTGCTGTATGAAGGGGTTTTCCAGGGAGGCCACACTAGTGTGCGGTTCGTCAATAGTGCGAGTTGCTCTTTGGAGTTTGTTTTGCTGCAATGATACATACAAGGGGCCTCTCGAGGTAAACCCGACATCTGGCTAGCGATCTCTCGCAGTGTTATGTTCTCATTTGTGTAAGGATTTTTGACTGCAAAATCAGGAGCGTATTTGCTCAAAGGATCATCAATTGAAGCGATTTTTCCTTCTTCGTACAGCTTGTACATTTGGAGGACAGCAAACACCTTGGTCACGCTTCCAATCCTGTACACAGTGCTCCCATTGGGTTTCATTTCCGGCCGTTTATACACCTTGCTTCCAAAATGGCCGCTCCACAACGTACGATTTTGGTAAAAAACATTAGCAGAAATGGCGGGTAGCGAAAACGTTTCATCGACTGCCGCATTGAACACTGCTTCCAATTTTTCAAACACGTCTGTTAACCGCTTGGGCGTCGTTTCGGGCAACGGAAACAGAGTGGGAAACTGCGGGCAAGGAAGCGTGTCAGCTGTGCTGGTGCTTTTCTCAGGTACATTTTCTCCGCTTTTCTCCGTCTTATGAGTCAACGCGTACCAGATGAACGACGCTGTAACTGCCAATGCGACTAAAGTCGAAATTAAGGTCAATATTTTCCATGTTCGGAGGGTATTGAACGGTTTCTTTTCGCCTCCGAACTCTGCGTATGGAACTTTGCTATCGGCGGACATCGTTTCAACGTGTAGAGTGAAGAAGTGGCCTGTAAAGTGAGTAATTAACACTTGAGATCAGTTGCGAAATTCATGTACAAAATGACGTGTGTTGTTAAGATTAAAGAAGCCAAGTATCATATATACCACATCCACTAAAAATGTATATTAAGTAAGAAACAGGATATGTTAACGTCAAGCAAGTGGTTCAGTTAAGAGTTGGAATTATGGAATGTGGAATTGGAAAACCGGAACATACACTGGCTCAGCCATTTCTAGTCGGGGAGTTTTTTAGCAGGCTAAGCCTTGATAACATTTGCCTCAAAGAGTAGTTTCATTACTACGCTAATACATTAAAGAGAAGAAACAGTTCTGCAGTACAGAAGAAGTTGTCGTTACTCACAACAAAAAGGCTTTAATGTTAATCAATGACGTCAACACGAGTATCACAATAATAATTTTCCATCGATAATTTTTGGCTTCACACTAACTCTTTGAGGAATAATCTACGTATGGTCTAAACCACATTTGAGAACACAATTGACGAATAGGAAATGGCAGCCATCTGAAAGCGATGTGCATGATGTGCACTTGCAGCAGCTTCAAGATTCTACTGCACAAATACTACGGCGATTTCTTTGCGAAGAGCGCGTTGTTGACTTTGTTGAGCCATTCTTGAAAAATGAAGAATAGGAAGCAGTTAAGCAACCTTGTTCCCACGGCTCTCTCTCTTCATTCGTGAAAGAACCCTGGTTGCGGCTGGTCACGTGGAAATGTGTGTCAAAAAATTGCGCAGCGGTGGTAGGTCCTCCACTAAATTTTGTCGACAAGACAATGAAATAATATCTGGGGTAGGGAGGAAATTCATACTTCAAAATGGCGCTTGAGGTTCTGAGATGCGTGCAAACTGTTTTGCTTTCGGCTCGGGTGACATTCACTTGTAGTTTCATAGCCTTCTATCGCATGGTCTGCATAAAAGCTTTGAAAAAGTTTCAAGTTCGGGTAGCGGGCTGCCACAAATTTCTTCCGCCGCGGAAAGAGAAAATAAATTCCGTTCCTGGAAAATAGTTTCCGGTCCACGACAGTTTGACACAGTCTACATGAGGCGCTTGCATTATGCATGATCAGGGGCACCCAACGTCAATTTTTGTAAAATATCTGTTCGGACGACGATTTGAGATCTAGAATTTTCGGAACATTTGTTGTAAGATTTCTTGCTTGCCTGCCTCTCCTAGGATTTTCAAACATCTAAAAAATTGTATAATTGCCTATTTTAAACGGATTTTCACCCTAAAAAGGTCACCTAGAATTTGCGGGAGTCTTTTTTCTGGCTGAAATTTTCGAAAAGGTAAGTTTTGATCCCTATAATTGTCGGATCACTAAACTTCCAGCTAGGAAGTCCGAACAGATGACAAATTTTTAGGGAATAAAAATATGCCTATATCTACCGTTTAAATTCTAAAATACGTTCAACAATGCTATGTTCCAAATGTTTTTAACTATATTCTCGCTGGGTGTCCCTGAATAATATTTTTGTTGGGTGTTGTTCACATTTTCAAATAGCAACAACGACGGCGAATTCAACGAGAAAGGCAGAAAAGTAAGAGGTTTAGCTTGGCAAAACAACGACTTTACGAGTGCATCACGCTTTTTTGTACATTGCTTTGCCGTTACGGCACGTCTACGACGTGAAAATGCCTAGTTTCACCTGGAGGACGACGTAAACACAAGCAGACAAGACAACGACTTTCTTTCTCTTTACCTGAACTTTGATGTAGTCTTTTAGAATTCAACTCCAGAAAAAATTCCCAACATTTTACGAATTGAATGAGATGGAATAAGCGCGATAAAGTTTAAAGCAGCGCGACTTTACTTTTTAAGTGGCGTAGCCGTCGCCGTCCGTTTGTTGCTTAAGCTCCCAGATGAACGAGGCGGCAAACTCCTCTCGGGCCCCGACAGAGTAACTTTTGTCATTGCGTCCTTATTTACTCTTCTTCCCCTCCCTTATTTTTGCCTCCCAGATTTTGGAAGTCCCGTGACCAGCCGCAACCTAGCCTAACTCCCTTTCCCTTCCCTTTCAAACGCCTGCCACGCAGGCTAGCCGCAACCAGGGTTCTTTTCGAAGCAAGAGAGAGAATCCTGGGAACGACGTTGGCAGTGAAGACGTTGGTTGCTTTTTTTTTTTGGCGGGGGGCGTTGCGGGGCAGGCGCTGTTAAATACTCGTAGAAAGAGAAGTACGTGTAAAACATCTCTTTCAGGGTTAAAACCCTTTGGGCCAAATATTTAAACGAACTCTAACGTGAGTCGCGGTTTAACGAATCTTTGAACCTCCAGATTTCTTCTGTGGTGGGTTGTTTTAAGAAGATAAAAATATGCTTTTCTAGTCTTCTCTATATGCTTTCATAAAACTGTTCACAATGAATGATGTTTAGATAAAATCGTTCGGCAAATTGAAAATGACTTAGAACGCGGTTTTCAAGTTAAACACTGGCTAAACTACGTTTAAATATTTGGCCCTTTGAGTTTAAAAGTAACCAAAAAGTAAGTACGAAAGTACAAAAAACTCTCTTCCATCGCAAAGACTTGTTTGTGATACACCTAATTGCAATAAGGTTGTCATTGAAAAAAGCAAAAAGCAAAAAGTTAAATAGGAATTAATTAGCATGTTGTTATCGTAGCTTGCAACATTCACAACACACACGCTTACAGCTGAATATTAGAGAAATCATTTGCATCAGTTTCTCAGTGTCATTCTCATGCAATTCAAGGCTGAATCATCTAGCGAAATTCAAACGTGCTCGAATTACAAAGCACATCGGATAACTACCAAAGAAACAATGGCTCCATTCTTTTTTCAATAAATATAGCCTGGGGTAAATTCCAGGAACGCGACGCGTGTGTTAGATCAGTGGTAATAGTAGAAAAGCCAGTCTACGTATGGGTTGCAGTGCACGACACCATCTGATCACAATTTTCAAGCAACAAATTAGAGGCTTAGGCAGGACTTTTCATCGCAGAGAGGGTAAGGGGGTCCTCCGCCAGTTCCTCACCTGAGCCACAAACCAAGTTTCGTTTGTCAGGACATAACAGATTGGCGACTGATCGTGCGACAACTGAGACATAACATTGCTCGCGTCAATTTACCATTTTCTTTCTCGAATTGTGCGACTTCTTTTGATCGAGAATGTTGGCTCTAAAATGACTTTGGCGCCTGTCTATCTTACAGAGCGGAATTACAGAATTATTTCTTGCTGTTGTGAATGAATTCTTAAATAATTGTTAAATACTGAATGAAAATACGCAAATGTAAATCACATGGCTAATTTATTCCTATTTGGCTTTTTTGCTTTTTGTTTTTTTTCTATGACAACGTTATTGCAATTAGGTGTATGCCTAAATGATTATATCGCGAAAGATGATTGACAGCTTGTACTTCAAGAAATATACTTTGTCATCAAGTGTGAAGCCATGTTTTCTACAGAGTGACTTAAGATTTTCAAGTGCACTTCTCAATCAAGTGCTTAAACTAACTTAGCTTCTAGTGTGTAGCCAACAATTGATATTGGAGCATTGATCTTTAGCCATTAAAAGACTGGATCAAGTAGGACAGAAATATTGGCCGTGGGCGGTTTATAAATGCAAATTAGAGAAATGAAAACAATACATTCCCCAAAATTTCCATATAAAAGCTTTCGGCCTGGTAGCAAATTGTAATTATAGATATTTCGAGTGCAGCGCCGTGGCTAGTATGAGGCCAACCGAGGCACTCGCCTTGGTAAAATTTTGACGAATTTCGCCGATCATTTTTATTTTACATAAGCGATCATCGGATATTTTTAACGCATCATGATATTACAAAGAATTCAGCAATTCAGTCAATATACTATGAAAAAATTACTATATCATCGATCTCAAGGGGCTACGTACGTTAACTCAAATTTTTTTTGAACAAATACTGATCAAAACCATTGGCGAGGTTAACGGTCACCCAGATTATGTAGCTTCTTTCTGATTATTGCTTTTTAAATTCCACTTAAATTAACTCGAAAAAAAGTTACCGAAAGGCCCAGAAAACGCTGCAAATCGCATTTCCGAGAGACTAAAGTTCAAAATTTCTCGGGGGGCATGCCCCCGAACCCCCCTAGCAACTCCCGCCTGCCTCGGTTGGCCGTTTGGTCTGGCTACGGCACTGTAGTGTCACAAATGTTACTACGTATGAAAATCATTTTAAGAAGAAGATATAACACTGCAGCTCCAAAAAGTGTGATTTTTTTTTTGAGTGGTAAGCAATATTTTACCCAGCAACATTTTTGGCCTGTTGAAAATTCAGAGTTTATCTTCGGGCGGCCGTGTATCAAGTTATACTCTCATTTTCTTTTCTCTCTTCTCAGCTTCTTTTTGTTGTTCATAGCGCATCATAATCTAATAAAAAGAGAGTCCTTTCGTTGCCATAAAGAAACTGAAGGATCTAAAGCGGAAATACATGAAATGACATTGCGTGAAAAATAACGTTTATGTGACTATGTCACGTGATTTCTAAGAAAACTATTTTAAATTTGATTCCCTTCCGAGAAAACGTTGCAACCAAACGAGTGACCAAATTTGGATCGCAGATATATATTCTGACATATTCGTCTCATAAGTTAAATGAAAAGTAGAAACAGGCCAGTTGGAGTTTTTTTCCACAATTGAGGGAAGGAAAGTCGTAGTAAACCGGATTGATGGCGTTAGATTATGTGTCAGTTACCATAGCTTTTATTTTCCTACCTTTACTGACAATGTTTCTGCGATATGTGACGAAAATGATCTTTGGTAAGATAGGGGTTGGTCCACCCGGAAACTTGCTACTGGTGGCAAATAGCAAACCTGCAGGAGAGCCAAGGATCCCTCAGAGTGTGAACTATCATTTCACAAGACAATGCAACTACAAATGCGGCTTCTGCTTCCACACTGCAAGAACATCCTTTGTTTTGCCCATGAAAGAGGCTAAAAGAGGCTTGGAGATGCTGAAAATGGCAGGTAAGTTACAACGAACTGAGGTTTATGTTAGTTTTAGATAATATATATACTGGCAATTGTTAATATGTTCTATCACTGATCTTATCTGAGATTTTATTTCCTCTCTTCACTGCTGCCGGTTATTTGAACATGATGGTGTTCAACAAGAAAGCTCTTGCTACGTTGGACTCTGTACACAAATGAACTTAATGTCTTTTAGTTGATTATTATTTATCAGCTAATTTATTTTCGTACCTACGTACACTTGTGTAAATATCTTATATCGTGTGAAATAAAGAATTGAATTGAATTGAATGGAATTGGCAAGTAGATCACTATTACAGCGATCTGCTTGCCGGTCGAGTGGATAAGAATAAAATAACAATACGTTATTGAACGAGGCTGAGTAGGATGTTAAGAATTTTGCAGATATATCCACTTCGGCCGAACGATCTGCATAATTCTTCAGATTCTTCACATCCTACTCAGCCTCATGCAATAATTGTTTTATTATTCATTCAAAATATTTCTAAGTTCTTAACAATGATAAATAGATGTTTTTGCACATTTCACTCCTATCCGATGATTTTTCCAGCCGTTACGTACGGAGGCTTTGTTGGCTTCTCAGCCCTTGGACCGGGCCGAGTTTTCAGGTCCGACCGGCCGTGTGTCACGAGAAAACGTTTTATGAATAAAAATATCTTTAATGAGAACAAAAAAACTAACTTAACCACTGATTTACCTTTATTCTAAGATCTTCAAATATGTAGAAACAACAGACAGGCGTCAATATTGCTGGTTTGCACGTGACGTCACGGCGGCCATATTGGTGGTTAAATGCACATTTCACTCCTATCCGATGATTTTTCCAGCTTACGTACGGAGGCTTTGTTGCCTTCTCAGCCCTTGGACCAGGCCGAGTTTTCAGGTCCGACCGGCCATGTGTCACGAGAAAACGTTTGATGAATAAAAATATCTTTAATGACAACAAAAAAATAATAACTTAACCAGTAGTATGGGAAATGGTACTTCTGGCTCACTCTTCGTCTTCCCAGAATTTCATTAAATCAACTAATAAAATCCCAGAATATGCAAGGGACTACAAAAAAGAATACCTTTTTATTATAGGATTAGATAAAGAATTTAAGTATTTAGTTGATAACATAAATGATGCAACTCGTGGATTATTTGAGAGTCACAAAGTTGATAGAATTAAGTATTTTATAAAAAGATTTTTGAGAGGTCAAGAGAGGGGTAAACTTAAGGATGTTAGTAATCTTGAGATTAATAATGATGATGTTGGTAACATAATTGAAATTAAAAAGAATTTTGATAATTTTAATCAATATATTAAATATTGTTATGAGTGTGCTGAAGATGATGATGATGAATGTTTTATTGATCGTTATCCTGGTTACAAAAATATTAAAGATGATTTCGAATTATTTTTTAGTAAATTAAATATTAAATATGAAGATAGTGATAGTGATAGTGATAGTGATATTGAAGATGTTAATGTTGTACTACCTGATAGTGATATTGAAGATTTAAATATTTCATTTACTGATAGCGATATTGAAGATTTTAATAATATATTAAATAATCTTGTTAGTGGTAGTGTTAGTGACAGTGATAGTGATAGTGATATTTTCTAAACTTATAACATTTTTTTGTTACAAGTTTTAAAAAAAAATGGTTTAAAAGAAAAAAAATTAGTAAATAAAATGGATAATAAATTTCAGAAAATTTTTACAATTCATTTTCCTGAAAGAAGAGTTTATATTGAACACACTTTTGATAAATTAGAGGAAAGAATGGAAAGAATTAAAGATGATAGAGATCATAAGTTATATAAAATGTTAAGAGAATACCCAAATCCAGAAATTCGATTTGAGTGTTATAAAGATGAAAATTGTAAATCAGAAATTTTGGTATCTTGAAAATATTTAAATTTTAAATTACTTAACTAGTTTAAACAATATATAAAATGGAAGAGTTATTAAAACAATTTGAAGATATGGGTTATGAAGTTAAGGTAGGATGGAAAGAGAAAGAAAGAAAAAAAAACTATGAGTGAAGCAATGAAAAAATTAAAAGAGAGTGGTGATGAGAATAAGATTAGTTATGCAAAAACATTAGCTAGGTATTATGGTATTTTTCATAATATGGGATATATTTTAAATCCTAAAATTTCTTTAGAAGAAGATAAATATGGCATTCATTATCTTTGTAGTTATTTAGATGGTTTTGTTGATACTGCAAAGATATGTATTGTTGGCGTTATTAAAGCTCTTGGAAATGATGAGCCATTAGATCCTTTTTGTAAATACCTTATGTTTACTCATATGTATACTCCAGATCAAGTAAAAGAAATAGGTCATGAAGAAATATATAGAAGGGAAAAAAAGTTTGAAGAAGAATTAGGATTAGTATAACCAATTAATAAAAAATGGAACCAAGATCAAGAGAAACTACTCCTACAAAAGAGGATTTAGATTTTATTGTTGATGATGGATATAGACATGATGTGGATCCAGATTATGTTCCAAACGAAAAATATGTTGTTACAGGACATTGAATTTAAAAAATTAACCAGAAATGCTAAAAAGCTTGGTGCAGAATCACTTGATTATTCAACCCGAAAAAATAACAAATACATGGCCACACTTCCAAGTGGAAAGAAAGTTCATTTTGGATCTCCAAAATATCCAGAATACACTATTCACAAAGATAAAGAAAGAAGAGATAAATATCTTTCTAGAGCAACAAAGATTAAAAACAAACAGGGAGAATTAACTTATAATAATTCTGAATCAGCTAACTTTTGGTCAGTTCATTTACTTTGGCCTAAAAAATAAAAATGATTTAAAGAAATATTTTTTATAATAAAAAGATGCAGTTGTCCAGCTACGAAAATATTACCCAAGAGAATATTATCTTTAATGAAGCCAAAGAGTACAAAGTAAAAGATAGCAAGATCAAATACAAACGTATCCCAATTGAAACCAAATATCCAAATGGAAAGAAAGGAGCTTTAGTATTAGAATCTCCAGTTCTTTTTAGCTTTGGTGTTAAAAAGAAAATCAAGAAACAAACAAGTTAGTTGGTTATAGTATTCCAGTATGTCTTTGGGCTAAAGATAGTGTACCAAATAATAAAGAAAAAGCATTTTTTGATGTTATTAATAATGTAACAACTCTATCTCAGCAACATTTAGAGAATGAATATGGACCAGATCTAGCATCAACTCTATTTCCACCATTTTACTATAAACAAATAGAATACACAGACAAGAAAGGAAAAAAGAGAACAAAAGTTGATGAATCATCCGCGCCAGTTCTTTACGCAAAACTTATTTACTCAGAAAAATCAAAGAAAATTTTATCTTTGTTTAAGGGAAAGGGAGGTAAAGATTTAAATCCTTTTAAATATATTAATCAGTATTGCAATGTTAAATTGGCATTGATAATTGAAGGAATCTTTATAAGTAAGACTGTTACATCTTTACAAATAAAAGTACATGAGTGTTATGTCAAACCATTAAAACCTAGAGAGAATTTACCAACAATTGAAGAGGAAGATACTGATAGTGATAGTGATAGTGATAGTGATAGTAAAGGTGAAGCGATAACTGATCAAGTAGTTGAAGACTTACTTTTATCTGATGAAGAAGAAAATAAGTAAATAACTATTTTTAATACAAATTTTGTATTAAAAATCAACCAAATCCTTTGAGCTAACCCATAAGTTAAATTTATCAGGATATCCACTCCATTTTACTAATGTCATTTTTTTCTTATTATCTCGTCTGATAATTTTTTCTATTCTAAATGTTTGTTGTTTTGCTTTTTGTAATTCTTGCTCATAAAAAGAACCTCTAATCTCTTCTCCCATTAAATCAACAATGTTATATGTAACAGGTTTTGTAGGTAAAACTTTATTAATCACAAATATTTCCTCTGTCCAGTTTGGTGTGTAGCCTTTATCAAATACCTTCCTCTTATACTTAGAAATTCTAACACTATCACCAACCGCAAACTTTGATTTACCAGGTTTTAAGTAAATAGAATCACCATACAAATTAGACCAAACTTTACTTTTATTTTTCTTTTTACTTGCTTCAACAGGAGTCATTTTTATACTAGAATGTCTCGAATTATTGTAATCATTAACTAGTTTATCTATCTTATCCCAGTAAACAGTGTTGTTATTAACTGTAAACATTTTCCGCATTCCGTTTTTCATTGTTTTATTCCATCTCTCAACAACACTAGATTTTTCTTCGTTTTCAGTGTGATACAAATTGATTCCCTCTCTTTTCAAAAAATCTTTGAAATGATTACTTATAAACTCAGAACCTTTATCAGTCCATAACATCCTTGGTTTACGTTTACTTTTGAATATGTCCTCAAATGCTTTACTAACAGTTTCAGTTTTCTTATCTTTCAACCCCCTAATCCAACCATACTTGCTAAAAACATCAATAACCGTTAACAAATATTT